AAAGTATCATTAGATCACTTAATGCTCCGATCATGGTGTGCTTCAGGGCATCATTTTAGGGCCTACGCAATTTGCAGAATAGGAGTCGTGATAGAAGATGTCTTTTGAAATTATTTGAACCACGTACACAAACGTGGAGGGTCTTAGGTCTGTACGAATTATCTCATTCGCGGTTTGTGGTTGTCATTATATCTACATTGTGGTCGAATATTCGGTTACTGAGATGTAAGAATATGTTTATATTTTGTGAGAAAATAATATTGTGCAAGTCGATATGTTAATATAGTTTCGAATTTTGCGAGGAAGGTTTGTATAATAGAACATGAACTTATTGATATTAGATAACTTATAGAATGTTATTCATTTTCAAGAAAAATCCAGTCCTGCAGGGAGCGTGCTCGCACAAACAGGTACTAAGGGCCGGTTCAGTCATTGGATGATTAACTACCATTATTAGTAAAAACATCCAAATAAAAAAATTCTCAATTTTGAATAAATACTGGGCTATTATTTCCATTCGTAAATAAAGATTCTACACTTCCAATTAGGATGAAACGGCAAACAGTAAAGTCAGAAACGAATTATGTGTAAAACATAATAAAAGTAATGTAGGTCACACCTATTAACTAGAGCCCGCAAAAACTGGACGTGAATACGGTGTTATAGTATTAATGTTATCAGTGCATACATCACGGCCGGCCTTGTTGTACGCTTTATGTAATGACATATATTATGCTCAGCGGATACTCACTTGTACCATTCATCATCAGCCTATAAGTGCTCACTGCTGAGCAAAGGCCTCTTCTCACACGGAGAAAATTTGAGCATTAATCACCACGCTTGCTCAATGCGGGTTGGTGATTTCAAACATATAATTAGAAATTACAAGACCAGATATCCTCACGATGTTTACCTTCACCGTATATCGTGGTGTCTAAATAATCATAGAAAGTACATATAATTCGGAAAAACTCAGGGCCACCACGACAAATCATAACGTTGTATTTTTTTGCGTATGGAACAATTTGTATATAAAGTCCTGGCTCAATGACTTCTCCCGCTCTAGATGGGGCGAGATGGAGTGTCAGACTGATATTGACTAAAAACCATCTCTTTCCTTCTCCTGCTATTAGCTGGGGCCTTGTTTTGTGAGGGAAAAAGCATCAAATGACTTCTCCCGCCCGGGCGGGAGGGAGTGTCAGGCTCTTACTGACTAAAAAACCCCCTGTTCCTTCTCCTGCCCTGGGCCGAGGTCGCGGTGTCTCATTGCGCTTACCCCGCAGCAACGGCTGAACGGCCCCATTTGCGGTGGTTTATTGGCTCTATGCGGCGTGCGTAGAATGCTACACGCCATGCGCTCGAGTCTGGTTCTGGTCGGCCAGACCCACGCTTACGGTGGCCGGAGATCGTCTCTCGATCCCCGACGCCTGGAGTGGCACCTACTGCGGCGCCTACGGCGTGTAGAGGAGGATAGCTCCCTCACACCTTCATTGCGAGTATGCACTGCTTCACAGACAGGCTTTTCAGTTCAAAGTATAGGCTGAAGATCGAACTCAGTTTCGTGATTTGGGTCTTATTGCAGCGCAGAACGTCAACCTGTAGGTAGTCAGACGATCTAGTAAATTCGCTGCTAACCACCCGACCTGAAAGTCACTGAGAGAAGTCTAAAAGGATGACGATAATCATATAATAATCAAGTATGCTTTGTTGAAAGACGAAAAATTTAATAACAACTTTTATCGCCATTAACTAAGCACTATAGTGTGATTCTGTAAGACTTCATTCTAAACTTCGAATCTGAATCCGCCGTGAGTAGTAGTACACTAGCGCTACACTTGCGAGTTGAACTAAATTGACCGCAACATTTTGATAGATAAAGTATGAGATGACGTTAAAAGTGACATTCTAAAATTTTATTTCCTCGTCACTTCAACGTTCACTTCGGACTCGAACAAGATTCAAAATCAAACAAATTTTATAGAATCGACGTGCTGCTCTCTTATATACATGCATATATATTGTTATTAGATCATTGTCTGCAGTACTGTCGCAATATAAAATTCGATATTTCCCGTAACCGCAGTACCGGTGTTAATTCGCAACGTCTGCGCTCAGATATAATCGCGACTTGCTCAGGGTTCAGAACGTTGCCACATATTTCCTACACATTACTTAGTACATAATTGTTTACATCCTGAATTTATTTGAAATACAATGTTTAGCCATTATTTTTTAATAAATACATTACACTAACTTTATCGGAAACATCGTTTTATTAATAAGGGTTTTGTATAACCAAAGGGAAATCCTACGGATGCCAAAATTGTCTGTTGTCAATCTGTACGTCAGTGAAGCTAGTTGTTTGTTTCAAAGTGTTGATTTGAATAGAAAAGAAAGAGAAAGAAACTCCATCGTTACTCTTTTAAAAAATACATATACGTATCTTAGTTTTCAAACTCACCAACACTCTGTTAACATTATGAACAGTTTGTGTTGATTTGAAATAAAAATCTTTAACAAAACATGCTAGACTCCGTACGACCTTACATCATTTCTTTTAATTGTAATAACTATTGCTTTTATGTAATAGGTCGGCAAATGAGCAGACGAATTACCTGATGGTAAGCAATCAGCGCTGCCCATGGAAACTCGCAACGGAGGAGTTACGAGTGCGTTGCCGACCTTTAAGGGATTAGGGATTTATTAAGGTTCCTTATCTTGTAGTGACAATAGTACCCAAGACAGTTTGTGTTTACGTCATCAATATCATCTTCGTCAGCTGTCAACTGTTAACTACTGCACGATTGGCGCGATGGCTGGACAACTGACTACCATGGCACGTGACGCGTGGGTTAGATTCTCGCACAGAACAACTCTGTCATCATCATCAGCCTATAAGTGCCCACTGCTGAGCAAAGGCCTCTTCTCATAGTGAGAAGGTTAGAGCATCGATCACCACGCTTGCTCAATGCGGGTTGGTGATTTCAAACTTATAATTAGAAATTACAAGTCCAGATTTCCTCACGATGTTTACCTTCACCGTATGTCAGTCATGTCAACAACTTTGTGTGATCCACAAATTGTTGTTCTGGGTCTGTGTGTGACGTGTATGTGAAATTGTATGTTGATTAGAGATGTTTTTTTTTGAGAAAATCCTAGTTTATAACAACAGCGAGCGAGCAATATTTATTTAATAAACAAAACATACCAAAACTTGGGTCTTTCTAGAAGACCCAAGTTTTGGTATGTTTTGTTTTCATGCTTGGTTACCGCTGTCTGGTCATCAATACAAAGTGTTACTACTTATACCTTGATACGCACTACGTATTGGTTTTAAAAATATATTTATCTCATAAAATCTTTCGCAAAGGCCTCGACCTTGCCAACACTAACTTTCGGTCATAATATTATTGGTATAGTCAGCCGCAGCATTTAGGTACGACAAAGTAAAAAATAAATTGGTTTGAATTTTCAAATAAAAAATAAATAAATATTTTTTGATAATAGAATTGGAAATGGGGAATCAGGGCAGGGAAAGATTGGGCCTTCGGTAACCTTTCTTATGCAGCCAAAATCTATGCAAGCGATGATTCACGCCGATATTCTGTGAGGCCGTGGCACCACTACGGTCGAGCTGACTAATTCTTGCCTAAGTTTACCTATGCCATACAAAATTCCTATAATAAGTATCATTATTAACATTTCGATAAGAAAAGAAATACTTATTAGCACTTATTAGATAAATGTGAAAAGTATACAAAAGCCTATCTTACGCCTACAAACATTGTTCTGTCCCAATCCGCTGACATTTCACATTGAGCTTTAATAAATCTGTGTTTTAATGCAAACATTTCAAACGAGTGAAGTATATCTGTAGTGTGTGTAGTTGAACTAAGTAACTTCTCATGTTATATGAGTTTGATACTGAAGCGTACTTATAGTCTAAAGAAATGATACAACCAGTTAATCAAATTGCTAGTTATTCGCGTCATTAACCTCTTGTCTGCCGGTATATGAGACACAATAGAAAACGCATTGTGTCTCGCGTATATCTGCGCTCCGGCATACCACGGGTTAATTGAAAAGCTCTAGTTGGCTGCTACGTACAGATTACAATGAATACAGGCTTAACGAGGCTCAATCTCTACCTTGATCATAATCTTTGGGTTTTTTTCTGAGGGGGGAAAATCATCAATTTACTTCTCTCGCCTAAGGTAAGGAAAGAGTGAAGAGACTCTCAGACTCTGGACTGAATAAAAACCACCCAGTTCCTTCTACTGTTCCAAGCCGGGGCCGCAACCCCGGCCTCTAGTGAAATTTGATTAAAAGTCTATATTATGAGTAAATCATCATTGTTGGCACGAGCTAGTGTTACAAATATATTACATCAGAGGCGCTTCCCGCGCACAATAGGCGGCACACTCCGGTGGCTAGCCTTCGTCGGTGCCGACTGCTCATAGAACACATTTAGCGTGCGTTACTTTATATTGAACATATTAACTTTTACAGCATTTTGGTCTATTTCTTTCCTAAGCCGTTAGACATATAAAAATATAATTTGTTATCATTCAAAAAGTGTCTATTTTATTTTAAACAATTATGATTACGGTAATTGATTAGTATTATTGTCCTACTCCAAGGAACGCGACCGCCAGAAACGTACAAAAATTTGTCATTAAGAGGCACTCAAATAAAATAAACCTTGAGGTAGTCATTAACGAAATACATTACAATGAAAATCAAAACATTAGAGAACGCACTTCGTGCTTATAAGTTATGAAATCCGTTTAATACTGTGTTGCCATCAACAAAAATATTATGCTACCACCTACTTAGAAATTAAGTAGCCTCTAAAATTACATAAAGGCAACTACGTCGCATAACGTAGCGTAGTCTCATAATATTTTCCGGTTTAACAAATTACATGAACAATAATTCTCCCCCCGCCACAGCGTGAGCGACCTTTCGCGCGCTGCAACTGACATTTCACCGCGTTTTGGCGGCAAACGCGCGCGTGACTTTACATTCAGCCTAGTTTTGTTAGTAAAATATTTATTGTTATCTGTGAAGCTAAATAAATCGTGACTTAATTTCAAAATAAATTTGAATTTATTAAGTGGATTGTAAAAATTAAATTGGACTATAAGTGAGAATTTAAAGTGCCGTGTGTTTCAAATTTATCCTTTGCCGGTAATATTCAAGTAAGTAAAGTTTAATTTTTTATACGATTGCATGATGTGACCTTATCACTTTAAGTTTCTCTCATATTTCAAAACCTAGGCAAACAATTACAAAATAGTTTTTGATGTATTAATTTAGAAATGAATTCAAAATTCAAAATCTGCGGTGTTGCAAGAAGTAAAAAGTGGCAATTAAATAAAGTCTTATTTATCAACAAAGGTTAGAAAAATATGAATATTTAGTCTTTAGTAGTTTTCCTTTTGGTTTTTGAAATAGTAAAATATTTTTTAGTTATCTAAACGTCAATATTAATTTTAAAACTCCTCCTATGAACTTATTCCGCAAAATCACGTACTCAGTAGCCGAATTTCTTACTACTTCACCCAAGAGGTTTAGCTGCATTGCCAATAGATAAACAGGTACACTTGATGTATTACAAACATGACATTTTAGCAAGTTGGTATCAACAATATTTATGTTTAAATGTACAAGTACGTGTGGCAATGTCATTTTGCCTTTATATTTGGCAACAGATCAGGTGGTGGACTTTCCTTGATGAAGGCCATTTTCAAGAGAGAAGATGAAGTACTTTGATTAGGATCTTTGCATTAGAATACCTATACCTCTTGTTACTCTGATCAGAGCTGATCACTGGCCATAAGATGACATGTGTTTTCGTTTGACTTTTATTTTTACAAGCAAAAAAATTGACACAGAATATTTCGCACACCGAAACTCAAAAAGACAGTTCTAATGGACTGAACAGCAAGTTTCTTGTGAAGATTTATTATTTACCAGAAGTTTTGGAATTGGGCAGCGTTTTACCCCATAGTTAGAAAAGCCTATAAATCATATGACCTTATCTTATCTTTGTCGTATTCGAGGTGCCAACAAAAGAAGAGGAAACTATTTCGTATTTTTTTTTCTCAAATAATAAAATTTTCTGATTTATTTTGATTTATTTCGTTGCCGGATCCAAAAGATTCATGTCTCAGAGACGCAACGGACTTCAATGTTTCGGTGTATCCTTGATTGTATCTACTGTAGAACCTGGCTACATGTTCTTGCAGCGGTTTTAGATCATCTCTCAAAAAATTGAAATTTGGAATCTTATGAGCCGATCGAGTGAACAGCAAGTGAACCTGTGTTTGTGCTTACTTAGGCACTGTATAGGTATATATGTAATATCTATCGTCTAGTCAGCTGGTATTTGTGAGGTCATTGACCGAGAACTAACAATCTTGCCAATGTTCCATGAACCGTGATATCGTTAGATAGGAGCCATTGTAATCATTAGTAATGTAACGAAAGTTTTCGTCTGTTTGTTGCGCTTTCACCTCTAAACTGCTGAACCGATTTTGGTTCAGGTAAAGGTAGACAGAATTTTATTAGTAGTCGTGTATTTCTGTTAGAGGATTATAAAATTTGTGTAGCGCTGCTTTTGTGAATAAAATTCATCCTTTTTAGCCCTCAAAATACTTTCTAAAATTCTCCATCCCTAGAAGAAGGAAGTCAAGCTAAACTGTCTCTCTCAGAAGAGAAAGTTCACACTCTAATGATGATGCTGTTGATGATGATGATGATGATGATGACAAATTTAATTTTCCAGTATAAAATAATCAATTTAAAGATTTTTGTCACAATTTGGTAATCGTCAGATCATCGTCACGATGATTTCAATCAGTGTTACACGAAGTCTAGTGATAGTCTGATGATTCTGGGTCAATTGTTGTAACCCTGCCATTCTTTGGTTGTTGCTTTTTATTTGGAAAATATAATTCGTTTTGTGCTTTACTGTCTACATCTTAAAGTACTTATCGCTTTAGTTATTTTAAGACTTTATTGCTATTTGACCTCACAGGATACCGACGAGGAACAACCACAGTGTTGTGTTTCGCCGTGTGAGTGAGGTTACCGGAGGCCCAATCATTCCCCTCCCCCGATCCCTCCCAATCCCTAAATCTCCAAAACCCTAATCCCTAAGAGGTCGGCAACGTACTCGTTACTCCTCCGTTGCGGGTGTCCATGGGCGGCGCTGATTACTTACCATCAGGTAATCCGTTTGCTCATTTGCCGACCTATTCAATAAAAAAAAATTATAAACTGTTTTAATTATCTTTCTTGGTATATCATTTTGGCCGGTTTATAGTTGTGTAAATTTTAGAGATTTTGAGATAATGAGACGACTTCTAGTATTTATAATATAGTGCAAAATGGTGCCATAGGCTGATTTGTTATTAGTGCAACAATTTACAATACAACTAAAACTGTTATGAGTTTATCTTTGCTTAATAATAAGTTTTATTCCTATGGTGAAAGCCTAGTAACTTATCACAAATACATATAATAACTTAATAATCATAATACAACATATTATATGCCTATTATGTAGGCGAAATATTAAATTTCTAAAAGTACGCAACTGATTTTGATGCAAGTTTTTTTAATAGTTCGAGTGATTAAGGGGGAAGGTTTATATTATATATAATAACATCCATTACATAGTAGTAGAAATTTAGTATCAGCATTACACCCGTGTTAAGCCGGGACGCTAATCTATTTATTATTTAACCCAATAGTTTTTGTTACAAAAACTCATTAACATTAATTAAAAGGAAGCTAATATTTTGACACTTATAAATTGACCACTGCATCGTTTGGGACATTGATATGCAGTTATACCATATGCAGGTACAAAATACAACCAGATTATGGACTATTAATACTATGCACTTGATCAAGCCGCCATTTCCAATGACTTGCAATACGAATCCAGTTATTATTTCCTTGAATCGGTTCTCTTTAGATTTCTATGTCGCAACTTGGTGTCAACTGATTTCTGTCCGCCATTGTGCCGTTTCTTGTGCAGTCTGTGCTTGTTGTGCACATTCGAAATATTTGCATTTGGTTGGTGTTTCGCACGGTTGCTGGCTATTTCTAAATGTTTGTTTGTTTTCGCTGTTTCGTGTTAAATCGTTGGAAATACAGCAAGATAGCAGTGTACGTATAGACTATTAATATATGTGTCGCTAAATAACAGGGGAGGATCTTGTGGTTGATTATCTAAGGTAAACTGAAAACACAGTTACTTTCAAAAAAAAAAAAAATTGAAATGTTATAAAAGTTCTAAGTTGATCAGTCCAAAAACTGTAAATGTTCTTTGATGATTCTCCGCATTTTCTTTTGACAAAACGTCTGTCCGTGGTGTCCCATTCTAGTGCTTACTCTGGTGTCGTGGGTACAATCATAGGGTAAGGTAAGGTAAGGGTAAAGTAGCTCGTATCCAACTGTAACAACACAACTACTATCTAGAAACACAAAAACTATACCAACAAAACGTTACGATGCAACAAGAAGCAATCACAAACAAACATAAATTTAAATAGGTATACATTTTTTTAAAACGATGTCCCATCTTAGGATTTAGTCTGTGTCGTAGGTGCGTTTACAAACATACAAATTCACATACACATCACAACCAGACCCGGAACAATACTCTGTGGATCACGAGTTGTGTGCGGGAATCGAACCCGCGGCATGTTGCGCGGCAGCCAGTTGCCCAGCCACCGCGCTAACCGTGCAGTCAAGTCCAAGTCAACATTATTCCTAGCGATTATAGCATCTAGCTTCGCTGACGAACAGACTGACAGACTATTATTCTGTTTTGACGTTTCAAAAGTACATGTATAAGGTAGTTGGAAATAAATGATTTTGAATTTGACTGATGATGTTTATAACTTATATCATTAAGTACAGTAATAACTGTTATTTTAAACACTATAATCATCATGTCTGTCGCGTATTTGTCATCGTTTCTATAGAATTAAATATATAATGCGAGCAATCCGTTCACCATGATCATGGGGCCTTATTGGGATCATGGCCGGACTAAATGTACTTAACGCACGCCATTATGTAATTTAATATCTACTTCAACTATTGTAGGAAATCTGTTTTTGTATCTGCCACATGAATTTTATATAAAAAAGAGTTAGATATTTTTTTTTTTTTTTTTTTTTTTTTTAAAAAAAAAACGTTGCCCCACTGTAGGATTTTCTCCTGTGTCGTGGGTGCGGTTACAAACATACAATTTCACATGCACATGACACCCAGACCCGGAACAACAATTTGTGGATCACACAAAGAGTTGTTCCGTGCGGGAATCGAACCCGCGACACGTTGCACGGCAGCCAGTTGGCCGGCCACCGCACCAACCGTGCAGTCAGATATATTCTGATTCTGAAAGAATAATAAATTATTTTTGTTCCAATTCGGATATGAATAAATATAAGAAAACATGCAGATAGAAACAATGAAACAATAAATTTATTTTTGCAAATAGGCCATAAAACGACACCTTTACACGTCAATTTATATGTGAAAAACTAGATGAAGCCGGCATTTCCTATCTGACTACTCTGAGAAGAAATGCCGAAACAAACTCAGAGGTCAGTCTCTTTTCAAGTCCAGACAATGTAAAAATAACATAATGTGAGAGAACCGTGCAAGTTCATTCTGTAGTGGTCTTTTGCGGAAAGAACTATACCAGTTTAAGTGGACCCGTTCTGAAGTCAAAAACCGCGACAAGTCTCACACGGTCCTTACACTAACAATAAATTTAAAAAATGTCAAATGAAAAATAAAAATTGTCACAATAGGTGATCATGTCATTGTATAAAAAATAAATAAACGTAATGTCAAATTGTATATAAAAGTGCATCTTATGTTACAAACATGTCAACATGACCTGTGCAGACATTACAGCGGCTCATTCCCAAGCCTGACTATCCTCTAAGTAGTCTTTTATTTTATACAATGCTTTACAGTAAAGTTTAGCCTTTATTACACTTTTAAATTTATTGGGGCTCAAATTTTGAATATCCCTAGGAATTTTATTGTAAAAGCGTATACATTGACATCTAAACGAACTACTTATTTTCTGAAGCCTGGAGGCAGGCACAACATATTTGTTTTTCCCCCTCGTGTTAATATTATGTATATCACTGTACTTCTTAAATAA